ATATGATTTTATCATGAAAATAAGCTTTAATAAAAACATTTTTATAAATTCTCAGTTTCTCTGTTGCAAGGTATTAATACAGGATATTCCCACTACATACCTGGAGATGTTATCGTGTCACTGACTCTGTACAAGCAAAGGTCTACCTAGAACATGTTCTAAAGTACTGCTTTTCAAACTTTTTAGAGAACACTTTCCATACATTAATCTGTTGAGAAATTACTGTATCTCTACTTCAGAATAATTGTGTATAACAGAAGATTTGGGAAATAGTTCTAGGGAGCACCCTAATTTCACTGATCTAGAACCATATCTCTTAGTTAATATCAGGGCTGTCTTACACAGTAATACAAATAGGTTATTTCTAGTATGAAGATACATGTATTTTCTAATGTGAGAATGACCAAGCAAGTGGCCTTTTATTGGCGGAAGCAGTGCTTGCATACAGAATTGTATTACCACTTACAGATACACACAGAGAGACAAAATACTTATATGTAGCCCTTCTCAGAAGAGAAAATAATTGGCAATCAGTATGTGAGATGAACACTGGACTTCCAAGTTTACCTTCCCGTTGAAGGCAAGAGAAGCATTGTGATAATGTGATTCTTCCTATTGGGTCAAGAGTCTGGCCTAACTTCTTGTCTCCTCCCATAGAAGGACACTGTCCTTCAGGATTTCAAAAGCTGAGGAATGTCACATTTTCTCCCACTATTCTTCCAGGAAGTTCAGGGTGGTGTACATGCTTGTCTCTTCCTTGGTTTAAAAAAGCCTAAGAGGTAGATTACATTGAGAGCGAGTAGTCAGCCCATGTTCACCCACTGAGCTTTGTGACTGACTGGAGATTTGAACCCAGTTTTCCTTTGTCCTAGTCTTGCATTCTTAATCTATGGTAACTTTCCTTCAGAATCTTATGTTAGTTAATATTGCAGAAAATAGGACACCTTGCACCACTCCTGAATTAAGCAGGGGGTGTTTGGGCTATCATTATTAAAAGGCAATATTTTCTATCCAGCTTCTTTTACTATTGCAAGTATTTGACTAGGAGAAGAAAATCACAATCATTAGTCTCATTAGCAAATGTTATTTTCTGTCAAACAGAAGGAACACCCATGGTAAGTCCATTCCATTCTCAATCAACAAAGAACAGGATTCTGAGTGATGAGAAGTTTTTTTGTAAAGTATGTTTAATTCAGAGCATGACTGACAAAACATAAGGAGCCTATCATGTAGTGCTTGTCAAAAGCTGACCACTAGTATCTATGTTGCGCCTTACACAGTCCTTTAATAGATGTGTGTTTGTGTTAAAAACCACTGACATAGCTGCACCACAGATAGAATGTGCTATGATTCTATTTGGAACCTGCTGATCTTGAGCATTATAATCCTGGACTATGCATTATCAAAACCGTCTCAAGACCATCTCCCTGGACTATACATTCTTAAAACCAGTTCCAAGTTGACATATTTTTCTCCTCCTGATGGCTGGAGGGAATAAACAATAGAACTTAATTTCCCAATGGTAGAGATTGTAGAGATATAAATTCTGGAGGCCACAATGTTATGACATCTGTGGAAGTTGCTTTGAATAGAAAAATGATAGATCTGTCTTCTGAGATCAATGACAACTGCATTTTCTTCACCATGAAAGTTGGGTCTGTCCTCAGCGTTATCCTTGTAAAACATGCAAAATCCTGGACAAATTAACAGCATCCCCAGTTCCGAGGCACTGCATGACAAAGTAATTGCTACAGGGAAGAAATACATTTTACTAATGGTACCTTTACCCATGTTTTTCTTTGGTCTATACAGACCCAAAGTTGCATGCAGTGTCAAAAGATAAAATGTAACAAAACCTCAAGTTTTTAAATATTTGTCGAACGTCACCCAACTGAAGTATTTCTTAGTGTGACCCAGAAATCAAAGGACGAGTATGTTCTGATGGCTTTTAAGCATGAAGGGTTTGGCCCCATCCTTCAAGCCCCTCAGGTGGGTAACAAGCATGAATTTACAGGAGCTTCTCCTTGCATAGTGGTACTAACAGCTGCTGCTGTCACAGCACCAGTTCAAGACAATTATAATTTTCCCCCATAGAAAAGAGTCCTACTAATTGAAAGAAATTGCATCAAAGCATTAAATTATTACCTTTTTATTTTTTCCAAGAAATGACATTTTGAGTTCTCATTTTTCTATATATTGAGTGCATAATTATCAACAAAACACAATTGATCTACATAATTTCAGACTGTTGACCAAAATATATATATGTATATTTATGTATATATGTACACACTTTACAAAACTGTGTTAACGGCATATGTTATAAGACACAAACCATCTAATGATACATATGAGAGAAGGCACAGAGATCATGTTTTACAAACAACACGGAATGTATACAAACATCCAATGCAGATTTGATATTTATACAGGGTTTGGCATTCGTTGAATTTTTATATTCTTAACTAAGGCCATAATCCATCTGTCTTTGAACTCAATTCCACATGTGGGAAGAGGACTGCTATAGCAGTAAATAGATTGACATTTGCTGGCCATTATTCACATGGAGGAGGGATATGCACCTCCTATATAGCAATCTGACTCTTCTCAGATATTTACTTGCAAGTTACTCCAGTTTGGAGGAGAAAGGAAAGCAACTGTGCATTTGATCTCTCTAGCTATCTCCTCCCTGCTTGAAGCTGTGCTCATGCAGGGACCAAGAATAAATTGCATCTTACATTCTGGAGTGAAAAAATACAAAGTCCCACAAGTTGTATTAAACATTACAACACTGTACAGTCTTGTAATTAAAAATAAGTTTTAACTATGTCAAAAATCTTAACATAAAATGTACAAATATCAGACCTGCTTCCTAACAATTCTGCCTGAAATGTAACAGGCTAGGGTTGCGTTATTTGAATCCTCAGGAAACCTTAAATGTTCTCGCAAAGAAAGGAGAAAGTATTGCACTGAAAATGGTTCAAGTTTGGCAAGTCTTCAGGTGAAAATAACACATTTGTCTGAATTAGGTGAATTCCAACTGTCAAAAGCATCCATTCCCATTTAAGCAGGAATAGTTTGAAATAAAGGATCTGAATGTGTTTCCCACTATAGGAAACAGGATGATGGACTAGAAGGACCTGATCCAGCAAAGTTTGTTTTTATTATTCTACCTGCATTATTTGATGTTTAATGTATGGTGTGAAGAAATGTGTTGTTGTTTTTTTCCTTTGGAGGTTGAAATGAGCATAATGTTCACTTTGTGTTTTAAAAGTTTTTTTTCTCTCTGGGATAAGAACAGGCAGGAAGGGGGAAGTCAATTCAATTGCTCTCCAGACTTACCTCAGCCCACCTTCATACAAATACTAATAGGTCTAGAGACAATGGGATGGTCAAGCTTCCCCATCCTCAAGCAGGGAACAGAGATTTGGAGGAATTAAATACTAGAAAGACTTCAGGAAGGAAAATTCTGGAGACTTCTGGAAAAGCTTCTCTTACCTGGTCAGTGGATGGGGAAAAGGGAGGTGATAAAACTCAAAGGAGCAAGGAGGAAGCTCTCTTTGGTGCTGAGTCCATCAGAGCAGACAGAACTCTTAACTGAGGTCTGGAGAAGGCAGTGATTTAACCATGTGCTGTCCTGAGGAGCTGGATAAAACTTCAAAGTAAAGGGTACTCTGTACAGATCTGTAACTTCCTAAGCTAAGGAGCCTGTCCTATATTTTAACATCTGATAGGGCATATATATAGAGAGAGAGAGACAGAGGAATTGTGTTTTACCTATTTCTTTTGAATCCCTTGCTCAACCTGGTGCTGTGCTAAAAGTATGTTTGTGAACATTTTCTTTTTAACAAATAATTTATAACTTTTGATGCTGATAGTGGTTTTCTGTACCACATAGACTTCCACCATCTTGGACACACTACTTTAAAAGGAGTGCCAGGGGGAAGGCAGTTGGCAAGTGCTGTTCCTTCAGGGACACACAAAGCAGTAAATGATCCCTGTGGTGACCAGGCACTGGGCAGCAGGAGGCACAGAGGCGAGGCCTCAGAACTCAGAAGGGAAGCTGAGAGTCCTCCTGACCCTCCAAGCGGACAACTCCTACAAAGGTCAGGTGGTGGTGGCAGGCTACCAGAGAGAGAAAAAAGCCTCTCCACGTGTTGGGAAAACCTTGGAGGACAAGGTGGAACAGGCCCTGCAGGCCAGAGCGGGCCTCTTCCACCACAATTGGCATGTAGCCATTTTAACAACTGCTTAAAACTACCATCATTTCATGACGCACTGTGTTTAAGTGTAAAAAAAACATTAACAGAAGTTGCACAAATGAATTATTGTGGATAAAATATGGTAATAGCAATTTATATGAATAATGCTGTTATCCTTCTATAAGCAAGAGTACTAATACCAACTACAGATGAACCAGTAGGTTATGCTCATCTTTCAAATACCATGTTCAGTTATCAGTGTGGTTTTTCCTCTACAAACATCAGGCAGCTGTTTTTCACTGCAAGATGCTTCTTAATTTATGAAGAGGACTCGTGTTAAACTTCATATTGCTAAGCAATACAATCTAACCACAAAATACTGGATCATATTTTAATATACAATCAGTTTACAGCTCCTAGTTTCAGGCACTCATTGCTCCTTTGTAAGTCAAATGAAAATGTGAAATAAGGGAATTGTTCATGAATGAACATTTTTAAAGGCATGGATCTTAATTTAGATATTTATAGACATTTCCAGAAGTCATTTAATCAAAAATATAGCATATAATATTAAAAGTAAATGAACCGTTTTTAACACTATACAAATTTCTTAAAAAGCTTATTTTCCTTTATAAGGCAGTGGGTATTCTGCTTCATAATCATGGCCAACAGATAAGCTACCTTTGGTTTAGTTTTGTTACTATTTCACATTAAAACTACAGTACAACTAAAATTTGATGAGATGTTTCACAGAAAACACTGTTGTATACACCAAAGTACTTTTATGGCTTTTGGATATTACTCATCGCTTTCTGATTCTTCATCATCATCACCTATTGGATAGGACTGGATATTGTTCTGTGTATACATTTTGGTTTTAAAGTGACAGTTGTGGTCCATGAGTATTGCCTGTAAAAAAAAAACAACCCAGAATGACCCATTAGTATATCTTCCATTTTATTACTGTCTGCAACAACCAAAGACACTTTCAGATTTCAGCCAGGATCAAAGAGCGTCTGTAAATGCACCCAGTTTCTCTGAAGCTCCCTGCATGACATCAGATGCTCCTCCAATATTTACTTCAAGTTTTGAAAGTATTTATTAAGTAGCTTGGGGGGTGGGCATATTTTGATGAAGAGATGTGTAGCTCTTTGGATCTGCCCCTTTAAATAGTGGTGAAATACCCATATACCAAGAGAAAATTAGGATGACTGAAATCAAATGTTTATTTAAAACACACCCAAAACATGGTAAAATATTGTGTGCTGGATTTAAAGGTTAATTCATATTTCTTCATATTCTTTCCTTGTACAAGAAGCTAGATTACTCTGGGTGAGTAACAAAATATTGAATGCAGAAATGTAGCCACTAGGGGTGTACAATATTTTTAACTAGTATTTTTCAGTTTGGGTCTATCGAACTCGGGGGGGGGGATGGGATTTCAGAAATCCCAAATTTTGCAGGGGTTCCAAAAAGCCAGTCTGATCCTGGGGTTGGCTTGGCTTGTCCTGCAGTTCTGGTTGAGGAGATCCCCAAGAGCTCCTGTGCCGCACATTGCTCCCGGTGGCACAGCTGATCTTGGCTCATTTTAAACTGGGCTGGAGGAAAAGCCAGCCCTAGGAGCTGCTGTGCCATGCGGAGCACTCAGCACATGGCTCTGCATGGCACCGGAGATCCTGGCTGGGCTTGCTTCTCCTGCAGTCTGGTTTAAACTGGGCTGCAGGAGAAGCCAGCACAAAGCCCAGCCTGCGGGGAGCAGTCTGCTCCTGGTGGCACAGCAGATCTTTAGGCTGTCTTCTGCAGTCACTTTAAACTTTAAAGGGACTGCAACAGAAGCCCAATGAACAGCTGAGAGGCGGGAGCAATCTGATCCCACCTCTCTGCTGTTTTTGGATCTACCTGGTGATTCCTGAATATATCCAGGATTGGGGGGGGGGGATTTTTTCCGGTTTTCACGAGAAAACCCGGATACATTTGGGATGCCGAAACTTACCTGGAAAATGCCAGTACAGTATTTTTTGGGTAGATTTTTGGCTCAGGTAGATCCAAATGCACAGCCCTAGTAGCCACTGAATTGATTCATGATTTTCCATTCTGATCAGGTATTCTATTAAAATTTTATGTAACATTTATTAAAGAATATTCTATTTTAAGTTTTTTAAAAAAATCATTCTATGAATAATTTGTTAGCAGGTAACAAAACAGATCATATAAGCCACATTATTATTAAGTGCTTGTATAAAAAGTTAACAAATCACTAGGAAAGGATTGAATTAAACATATAATTAGTTATTTGTCCTCAATGTTCCTGTATATGATTTTGAACTGAGAACCAGGGTACCACACTTAGGTTACCTACAATGAAAAGGATATACACAGTACCTGAATAACACTTTATATAAAATAGTTCTGCTGAAAATGTGGATCTAAAGTTGTTGTTTTACTTAGCCTAGAAGGGGGTGGTACTTAAATCAGTTTATACTAGAACTTGCATGTTTACTCTTACATTGTTGTCCTACAATCTTTTCTGGTGAAACTTGGGAATGATTTTCCCATGTATCTCTACTAAAAAATACAGCACCCAATACAAAGATGCATGGCATGATTTTTTTTTGGTATAATAACAATTGATTGGCACAGTAATGAGAATACGGAGAACAAGAAAAACAGTGAAAAAGTGACGCTTAATATATGTCTAAAGAATCATAGAAAAGTGAACAAAAATAATATACATAACCACTTTTCTATGATTCTTTAAAGACATATATTAAGCGTCACTTTTTCACTGTTTTTCTTGTTCTCCGTATGATTTTTTTTTTGCACAAATGTATTCTCTTGTATGGCTCATGTATGGCTGCGAGAGTTGGACTATAAGGAAGGCCGAGCGCCAAAGAATAGATTCTTTTGAACTATGGTGCTGGAGAAGACTCTTGAGAGTCCCTTGGACTGCAAGAAGATCAAATCAGTCAATCCTAAAAGAAATCAACCCTGACTGTTCTCTGGAAGGCCAGATAATGAAACTGAAGCTCAAATACTTTGACCACCAAATGAGAAGGGAGCACTCACTGGAGAAGACCCTGATGCTGGGAAAGATTGAAGGTCAAAGAAGACGGGGACGGCAAAGGATGAGATGGTTAGACAGTGTCATAGATGCAACAAACATGAAGTTGAGCAAACTTTGGAGGGCGGCGGAGGACTGGAGGGCCTGGCGTGATCTGGTCCATGGGGTAGCAAAGAGTCGGACTCGACTGTGCGACTGAACAACATTCTCTTGTTACATTTATTAGCAGTGCAGTCCTATACAGTTACACAGACTGACTTCAATGGATTTAGAAGACCGTAACTTTGTTTAGGATTGAACTGTGGGGCCCTTACTAGGATTTCACAGACCTCTTGATAGGGATAGGCTGCTGGAAGTTTTAGAAGTCTTGAAACATCAAGGCATCCAGTGCACATTCTGGTGAACTTTAGGACATTTTCATACAATACCCTTTATGGTAGGGGTCTCAAACGTAGTGTCAACAAAATGTAGATCCTGGAAGAGGTTAATATAACTTACATGTTGGAACTCAGTTGCATTTTACTGCCAAGATTTACTACTGAAGGTAAAACATTTTATTATATCCTGGTAGCTTGGTATTTGTTAGGCACCAGCTAGAAAGCAGCCATGAGATAACATGAATCAAATATTAAATGTTTATTAATCTCTGTGATAATTCATTCCTCAAATTAAATTCAGATAGCCAATTCCTTCCATCTAGCTTCCACCCCAAGCTAGCACTAAAAGCACTGCTTGTCCTGGGTCAGAGCAGACTCAGCCAAGACCAAGAGGATGAGTCAGAAGCACAAACCAGAAGCGTAAGTCAAGAGTTCAGTCCAAAAGTCATACACAAGCCAAGGGTCCAAGCAGGTCCGAGAGGTATTGTCAAATAGGTCTGGGGTCAAAGCCAATGGTTCAGGAGTAGCAGCCAGAAACAGGTCCGGGTGGTGTGGTTGCATGTCTCCAGGAAGGTGACAAGTTGCTCCCACACCTTCCCCCTCTGAAACCCCGTTCTTTATCGGCAGCTCACAGCTGGGTCTTGTTGCTTGCAACAGTGCTGTCCATTAATTCCAGATGTTCCTCTTGATCTGGCAGTCGCTGGCAGCACCAGTGTTGCAGTGGCTCGTTTGGGGGGGGGGGGGGGTCTTTTGCCTGTTTCCAGACATCACAGAATGCCACATAAGAACTCACATCAGCATGTACCCGGAGCCACCAGAACTCCCAGGTGATCAGATGTGTGGTCTTGTGGCATCCAAAATGACCAGCAGGCTTCGAGTCATGGAAGAGTTGTAGAATCTCCATTTGCAGTGGCTTGGGGGGAACATATAAACGGTCTTGATGCAAAAGCATGCCGTGATGCTCTATCAATCCCCGGGGTTTTGGCTGAGAGGGATCCCGGAATTTCTGCAGTTGTTCCAGGGCAAATGGATGTTCCTGTTGTTCTTGGATTCTGTCTATGAGACCTGGGGGATCCTGAGTGGCAGCAAATGTTTCTGGTGGTAATATCATGGACAGTGGTTGGTCTTCTTTTGGGATGGTGGCATATTCTGGCTTGTGGGAAAGGGCATCGGCTCATTTATTTTGAGAACTAGGGACATAAGAAATCTGGAAGTCAAACCTAGAGAAGAACAGTGACCAGCGGATCTGTCGCTGGTTCAGTCACTGAGTTGTTTGAAGATCTTCCAGGTTCCGGTGGTCAGTCTGTACCTGGACTGGATATCGAGACCCTTCTAGGTGGTGGCACCAAACTTCAAAAGCTACTTTGATTGCCAGTAACTCCTATTTCCAGATGGTGTAGTTTCATTCTGCTGGGGTCAGCTGGTGGGAATAGTATGCACAGGGTTGCAGGGTGCTGGTAGGATCATCCTTTTGGGACAGGATGGCACCTAATGCTGTGATTGATGCATCAGCTTTGACAATGAATGGTAGACATGGGTCTGGGTAGTGGAGCAACGGTTCAGACGTGAAGTGGGTTTTTAGGAGTTGGAACTCCTGGTCAGCTTCTGGGGTCCTTCAGAATGGCTCCTGGGGGCAGAGGAGTTGAGTCAGGGGGACCGTGATCTTGGCGTATTCTGGAAATGAATTGCCTGTAGTAATTAGTGAATCCAAGGAGCCACTGAACGTCCTTCCAGGAACGTGGGGCCTGCCATGTCTGTACCACCTTTACCTTCTTGGGGTCCATACAGATACCCTGCAGGGAAATTATATGCCCTAGGAACTTCATAGTTGGAAAATCTAACGTCTCAAGTTTTGCATGCAACCCATGTTGGCACAGGCACTGCAAAACCAGACGTACATGTTCAGTATGTTCAGCGGGGTCACGGGAGTAGATCAGAATGTCACCTAGATAAATAATCACAAATTGGTCAAGGAGATCCTGAAACAAGTTATCCATCAACCTTTGGAAGACCACGGGAGCATTGGTCAATCCAAAAGGCATAACTAGGTATTCAAATTGACCATATCGAGTCCTGAAGGCAGTCTTCCACTCATCCCCTTTACGAATGTGCACTAAATTGTATGCTCCCCGGAGGTCTAGTTTGGAGTACACCTGAGCCCCCTGTAGACGTTCCAGTAGCTCTGGGATCAAAGGCAGTTGGTACCAGTCTTGGATGGTAATTTTGTTTACGGCCTGGTAATCATGGCCATTTTTCTTCTTGATGAAAAGTACCGGGGCCGAGGTGGGTGATGTGGACGGCCAAATGAAACCCCTCTGCAGGTTTTTGTACAGGAAGTCTCGGAGTACAGACCGCTCTGATTTTGAAAGAGATATAGGTGCCCCACAGGCAAGGGTGCCCCTGGAACTAGATTGATTGCACAGTCGTAGGGCCGGTGCGGGGGTAGGTGGTCCACCCCCTTTTCCTTCAAAACATCCTGGAAATCAAGGTATTATGCTGGGAGCGTGGTGTGTGCAGGTGTGGCAGCTGCTGCCAAGGCCATGGGCTTGTGCAGATGAGGGCAAGGGTCGTAGAATTATAAGTCCCATTGCCTCTACTGGACTACAGGATCATGTTCTGTCAACCAGGAAAGGCCCAAGATAATGAGGAAGCAAGGCATGCTGGCTACGTTGAAGCAGAGTTGCTCTGTATGGTGCTGGATCTGGAGAGTCAGTGGCTGGGTTTCCTGGCTGATGGGACCTGACTGCAGCAGTCGCTCATCAATAACTTCAACCAGAGCCAGTGTTTTCTTTTGCCAGAGAGGCACTTGACGCTGTTTGGCAAAGTGACTGTCCAGAAAACACCGGGATGCACCTGAGTCCACTATGGCATAGACCAATAGCCAGCGGGTATTCAGAAGACCAATTTTCATGGGCATGAGGAATGGGCCAGGGAAGTCACAGGGGCCTCCTGTGAAGTCAAGGGACTGCCCCAAACCACCTGACCCCTTGTGGCTTGAGGCTGCTCTTTTCCCAGAGAGCGGCACGTGGCAGGACAGCCACTAACAAAATGGCCACACACCCCCACAAGACAGACATAGGTTGTTGGTGCGGCATTGGTTCTTCTCGGGAGTCAGCCAGGGTCGCACTGCACCTAATTACATTGGTTCTCTGGCATCCTCTGGTGACTCCGCAGGTGCAGACCGGCTAGCCCACGTTCCTTGTGATTTCCGCTGGTCTGGGTATGGTCGGGAGCGACTGCATGCTTGTTTGCTGCTCTCTAGTCGTTCGTCAATGCGTAGGCAGAGGTGGGTTAAAGCTTTCAAGGTGGCTGGCTGGTCTACACGAACCACTTCATCCCGAATTTCATCTGACAGCCCCTCAAGGTACTGGTCCATTAGAGCCTCTTCATTCCAGCCTAAGTCCTGGGCAGGGAGTTGAAACTCAGTAGTGTAATGAGCCACTGATCCCCATCCCTGTTTCAATGCACGGATTTGCCTGTTGGCTTTCTCTGCTTTCAACAAACTAGTGAAAGCAGCCTTCATGTGTGCCACAAATCCTGGGTAGTCATTTAGTAAAGGAGACTGAGCAGTTAGCAGAGGAGCTGCCTATTTTGCTACCTGTCCCTTTAAGAAGCTGATCAGGAAGCAAACTTTTACCCTGTCTGAAGTAAAGTCGGCACTGAGCAAGGAAGGCAGGGAACTCCTCCACATTTCCTCCAAACTTTTCTGGAGGGCTGACTAGGCATTTGGCTGAAGGTGCTGTTGCTGTGGCATGAAGGGCAGCCGTCTGTTGCTGCAGGGTAGACACAACATGCATCAGCTGCATCACCTGGTCCTGCAGTGCTGCGAGACTCGCAGACTCAGCCAAGACCAAGGGGATGCGACAGAAGCACTAACCAGAAGTGTAAGTCAAGAGTTCAGTCCAAACGTCATACACGGGAAGCCAGCTGAGGGTCCAAGAAACAGAGTTCAAGCAGGTCCGAGAGGTGTTGTCAAATGGGTCTGGGGTCAAAGCCAAAGGTTCAGGAGTAGCAGCCAGAAACAGGTCCAGGTGGTATGGTTGCACATCTCCAGGAAGGTGACAAGTTGCTCCCACACCTTCCCCCTCTGAAATCCTGTCCTTTATCAGCAGCTCATAGCTGGGTCTCATTGCTTGCGAGAGCGCTGTCCATTAACTCCAGGTCTGGCAGTCACCAGGCAACTCCGCCTCCCCTCGAGGAGCTCCAAGCTCGTGCACTTCTTCCTGCAGTCCCCTGGCTCTGGGGACAGAGGAGGCGAGGCAACCTGTGATGCTTCCCCATGATCTTGGGTTGTTGAGGCACTGCCACTCTGGGTTGTCTCTTCCGTGTTCCCAGTGCTAATGGGGCTGGAGTGCCTGCTGTCCTCACCAACTGGGGCACTAGGACCTGCCTCTGCTGTCTCGGTTGGTCGTTAGGAGCATCAGCTGGCTGAGTCTCAGAGGTGCTGACGGGGCTGTTATCCGCATCAGCTGAGTGCTCTTCAGTTAAAGCAGACTGGCCCACAACACTGCTTGCTATAACCTAAATACTGTTTTTCTGGTCAGGCTCTTTCTTTTCTGTTCTTGATGCTGATGTCAACTACCACTTCTGAAACTAGTGATTTCCTTCCCATCAGGACTGCTCTCTGAAGATACTAGGCCACCAATGTGCAGCTCCTGCAAGTCTCTACAGCTTCCTCAGGTTCCTCTCCCCCCCAGTTTTGTCTTTTAAGTCCCACTGCCAGGTTTCTTCGGTTAGCTCTTCTTACACAACCGTTTTCTGCCTTCTTTGTCTCTTTTTGCTTCTCACTCACACCTCAAACAACCACCAACACATCCTGTAAGCAACCTGTATACGTCCTTTTATTATCCATGGTTATACTCCTTCAGAAATTAATGTTCTTCACATCTCAGGCCACCAGTTTATTGATCCTTAGTTACACACCAGTGAGATGGGATAGAATGTTTACTAACTGGCCAACAATTTTGGATTTCTATGTATATGAGGTGGGCTCCCCCTTAGATAAAGTAACCACAAAATAGCCTTAGTACTTGGCAGACTGCTCCAAGGCCTATATATGTGTAGCCTTGAAAACTACTTCTGTAAATAAAATCATACCACCTTTACCTCACAATGTTACCAAAAAATTTCCTTTGTTTTCCTACACAGAAACACTATTTACATATTTCATGTGCATTTGGTAAACTTTACACAAGGTATGTATGTTGTTTCTCCACACCCATCAACTCTATTTAGCTGTTTGAGAAAATGCAGTTTCCTCACAATGGAAGAATATGCGAGCCTGCCACCTGGATCAGTGATGCCTAAACAGTTTCTGGAAGAAAACCATGGCATCCTATCATATATAATACTGAACAACTAATATCTAGAAGGTTGCAAGGCATGTGCTGGAGTACTGGACACCTAGGAGTGATTAACTATTGCCAGAAGACCTACTGCAATGGGGACTCCTCTCTCCTGAGAATGTTGTTTTCAAGGCATCAGGTACTTTATAAACCAGAACAGAAGGAATAAGTTGTTCACTTACTACCTTTTTTTCCCCAGTACATACAGCAGCAAGATAGACTGTTATCAGAGAAGAAAGTGGGGATGAAGGATGTGTGGGAACATGAAAGGTTCTTGCTGTAGATGCAGGATTCACTTGTGTATGAGAATCTCCAGACACTATGTGTGGTGCTGGAAGATCCAAGAAAGGTGGAGTACATTTAGTATGTTACCAAACACTGGACTAGAGTCTTTTTGCTCTTCTGAGTTGTTAATTGGGGAGGGAAAATGGCAAGAGAGGAGCTATCTTCCTCCACCTCAATCCAAATCTATCTCACACAGCCAGAAGGCTTTTTTTTTTTTTGAACAAATAAAATAATTAGGAAATCTGATTACAGGTCTCACAACTCATTTAGTTGAACCATGAAATGGCATTTTGTACTGTTTCCAAATGCCACCATTTCCTGGCTTCAAATTGCATATTGGTTATTTCCCCTTTTTTTTTCTTACCAAAAAAAGCTAGAATCTCCTGAAGAAATAAAATTCCTCCTTACCTATTTAAGATGTATTTGGAATCCCTGCCTCAATAAATCTTGAAGCGGCTGCAAATTCTCTTATGAGCCATAAAAAATGGGGGGGGGGGTTACTCCTTTAGTAGAGAGGAAGGATGCCTGTTGCCTTTTTACATTTTCCAGTGTGCTCTAGTGTCATGTTTGTATTTAGCCTCTCAACAGTCCTGCAAGGTGCTTCTCCTGGAAAGCAAGCCAAGCCTGCTTTCTTGCCTAAGTGAAACAGAACTGTAAATGAATGTTTGTAAGAATACCATGGTAGCTGAACATTCTTTATGTGCTGCCTATGTATATTAGAAAGGGGGAGATACTAGACAACAAAGCACTAGGAGGATGTAACAGAGGAGAGGAGAGAGATAAAACAGGGTAAAGAACAAATCTTATAAGTCTTTCTATAAGAAAAACAAATGGAAGGTGCCTTAGCTGAGATGTAGTGGACCAAATCCAGAAAAAAATATACTTGTGCTTACCATTTTTTCTTCTTTGGCAGGTGGACTACGTAGGAAAAAACATAAAGGAGCAAAGAGGATGTCAATAATTCCTATTATGGTCATGAGCCATGGGAACCCAATTGCCTTCGCAATGGCACCACCAACAGAAGGACCTTCAGGAAACAGAAGTTATTTTTTTAAAGTTCTGAAGGTACCCACAAAATAAACAAAGAACTGACCCCAAACTCTGTGTAATCAGAAATAATACACACTTGAAAAAGATACATATTGGCATAAATTATGGATAAATATAATGCCTGACTGATCACACATGGAAAATGGTTGCATGATTTTAGTCTTGTTGCAGGACAGCTCATTCTACAAGTAGAGTGGAGTTCCCATAAGTACTTCTTCCTTTCTTCTCCCATCTTACTGCATGGCTACTGTTCCTTACTACATTTATTCAGAAGTCTGCTAGACCACATTGTAAATGCCTTTGACCAAATGTGAGCAATTTCATTTTGAGTAAGGTTACATATATTTGGTCTAAGACCCAAATGAATCCATTACCTAAAGCAAACCCCATGCAAAATGCAACATCTGCTATTGCATAAACACTCCCATAGACTGAAACGTGCCGCAGATCAACAAGGTAACCCATAATAGGCATCATCGAAGAATCCACCATCCCTAATGGTAGGAAAAAAAGAAAAAGATAAAGATAATTTTCTCCCTCTGTCCACTTCCTCTAAAATGATTTGAAGACATGGAGATGGAATGATCTAGTAATATTGAAATAAGAATTTGTTAAGATAATTACAAGCTGGGACCATACAATCACAAGGCTGCAGCAATTTGGAAACACCCCCCCCCCCCTCCTCAAAATCTCCCTCTCCAAGATCCTATAGTCTCTCAGAGGTTTAAGCAATCTAATATCACCATTGCTGTCTATTTTCCTTTAACTGACTTTCAGCTGCTTTCAATATTAGATGCCTCTAGAGCAGGGGTGGCCAAACTCACTTAACTTAAGAGCCACATAGAATAAACATCAGACATTTGAGAGTTGCAAGATGTGAACAAATATTACACACATGTTTTTATTGGAAAATACGCACATTTGTTTTTTATAAACATTATATGAGACTGCCAAAAAATAAAAACAAAAGGAGTAAAACAGATTGTGATAATGATATTTATTTGTCCAGTTTGCTGTTTATGACTCCAGTTGCAAAAACAGTAAAGACAATAAATAAATATTTATTTGTCCAGTGATGTTTATTTGTTTGATAATGACATTTGTCTGAGAGAGAAATAAAGAAAGCAAATAGATGGGGGAGGGAGAAGGAAGGGAGAAAGAAAAAGAAAGGTGGAAAGAAAGCAAATAGATGGGAAGGGAGGGAGGGAGGGAAGAGAGAAAGGAACAAAGAAAGCAAATAGATGAGGAAGAGAGAGAGAGCAAGGAAGGAAGGGGGAAAGAAAGGTGAAAAATAAAGAGGTGGAAAGAAAGGAAACAGATGGGGGAGGAAGGAAGGGGGAGAGAAAGAGAGGTGGAAAGAAAGCAAATACATGGGGAGGGAGGCAGGGAGAGGTGGAAAGAAAGCAACTTTAACTTTAAATGTGTTCTCCAACACCCCCCCACACCCCCATGCTAGCCGGCTTGGCTTGGAGAAGGGATTTAAAGAGACAAATGCCTTCTCCAAGCCTGAGAGTGGGGCCATGGAGAATGCCTTTAACTTTAAATGTGTTCTCCATGCCCCCCATCCCTGCTGCAACGCCAGCTTGGAGAAGGGATTTAAAGAGACAAATGCCATCACCAAGCCAGCTGGCTGGTGAGGCAGGGTTTGGAGAAAACATTTAACTTTAGATGGGGAAGGAGGAGAGAAAGAGAGAGAGAGAAAGGTAGATAGATGGATAGATGGATGGAGGGAGGGAGGGAAAAGTGGAAAGAAAGCAACTTTATCTTTAAATGCGTCCACCAAACCTCCCCCCACCCCCACCCTGGCTGGCTTGGTGAAGGGGGGGGGGCTTTGAGAACACATTTAAAGTTAAAGTTGCTTTGTTTCTCTGCTCTTCCCACTTCAAGCCTACCCAGAGAGGGTCACACTGGCTGAGGAAGGGAAGACCGATCAGGGAAGCATGCCACCCCTTTGCTTCCCCAGCCACCCTGCCGGGAGCCACACAATATATGCAAAAGAGCTGCATGCAGCTCCCGAGCCGCAGTTTGGCCACCCCTGCTCTAGAGGCACGTAGAGTTGGGAAAGACACTCCCTCCTTTTCTGGGGAATCACAACCAGCCACAGTGGACAACACCAACCTAGGTGAACATGGCACAGTTCTTTTCTGCATAGTGAAGAAGCGATCATGTTCTAAATTTTGTCACTAACTTCAGTGGATGCTGGTTTGGCCAAAATCGGTGACTTCTATACTGGCAAAACCACAGTCACTACTGACTTGGAATCTGGCTGATGCAGTTGTTAAAAGAATATATGTACACAGACACACACGCACATTTTTCTTCCCGCTGTACCACTTTGCTGACAAATTGAAGTGGAGGTTCTGAATAGCCCTATCAGTGTAACTATTGAAGGCAATTTGCAATTAGACTTTCCCCAGCTAAATATGATACACTTTCCTTACCAATGGCAAAACCAACTCCAAAATTTGGTGCTATGAGTCCATATATGTCTTTCGCAAGTGGTACCTAGTAAAAAATTAAATACCAAAAATGTTACCCAGAGCCTATCATACATTATCAATTAGTCTATTGGCTAATGATTATCTTAATTAATCCACTGACTAACTTCCTACATGTGGCAAAATGGGTCCAAGAGTGCACAAATAGTTTTAACTAGCACATATTATACAACTTTAAACAAACAACATTTGCTACCAATTTGGTGTAGTGGTTAAGTGCGCGGACTCTAATCTTGGAGAACCAGGTTTGATTCCCCACTCCTCCACTTGCACCTGGCTGGATGACCTTGGGCAAGCCGTAGTTCTGATACGAGCTGTACTTGAAAAAGAGCAGTTTCTGTCAGAGTTCTCTCAGCCCCACCTACCTCACAGGGTGTCTGTTGTGGGGAGGGGAAGGGAAAGGAGTTTGTAAGCCGCTCTGAGACACCTTTGGGCAGGGTATAAATCCAATCTTCTTCTACCTTAATCTTGCTTTATTTCTTTTCATCAATCTCATCTAAGAAGTCTTCAAATACAGATGCGGACCTTAATTTTATAAGCCAACACTAAATGTTTAAGAAATATCTACGTTCAGGGGTCATTTCCTCCCAGAGCACCTTGGAGCAATGCTCCGGCAGTAACAAGCCCAGGCCCCATCCCTCGCGGGGCACCTGAAGAAGACCGAGCAGGCAAGCCAGGCATGTCTCCCCACCTCCTCTTCCTTCTCCAGCTTTCTGGCAAAAGAAGGGGGGGCGGGGAGATATGCCCTCCTTTCCCCCTGAGCCTCTCTTCTTTTGCGGAGAGATCCGGGGGGGGGGGATTTAAATGCCCTGGGTTCCCTGCCCAATCTTCTCCAAGTGCCCTGCAGAAGCCGGGCATGTTTCCCTGCCTCCTCTTCCTTCTCCAGCTTTCTGGCAAAAGAAGGGGGGGCGGGGAGATATGCCCTCCTTTCCCCCTGATCTTCTCTGCTTTTGCAGAGAGACTCGGGGGTGGGTTTCCTGTTCGATTTTCTCCAAGAGTCCCACGTAAGTAAGAGTAGGTTAAGTACTCGAGTACTCCATCTTTTTGTGTCATACCTCTGAGGATGCCAGTCACAGCTACTGGCGAAACGTCAGGTCCTACAATGTCAAGATCACAGCCATACAACCCAGAAAATCTACAACAGCTAATGAACTCCGGCCGTGAAAGCCTTCAACAACAGCTTGGAGTACACTTTCAGAGTTAAATCTAGATGAAGAAATTTCCTGTCCAGGGCCAAGGCCCAGCACAGACTTTATCCCAGCTTGGTGAGGCGTCAGGAGGACCACCCTGGGAATCCCCAGCCTGGCATGGGCACTACCAGTCTCTTACTTGGGCCCAACAGAAGCCCTGCAACAACAATCAAAGACAGAAAAGGAGGCTGGGCAGGCAGGGGAAAGGCCACCTGGGACTTCCCCAGTGACGAGGGAAGACATGCTGCCCATGGCCTCACTAATGCCAGCAATGGTGGCAAGTGGCAGCAGTTGGGGGAAGCTTGCAGAAGTGAGAAACAGGCCTCGGCTCTCCACATGGTCACCAGGGAGGCTGACACTACCCTGGGAGATCCTCACAATCTCTCCCCCAGACAGCTCCAGCACAGCAAGGAGCCAGGAGCATGAACAGACCAGGCCTGGTCACAGGCAGGGCAAAAGCCTAGATATCAGCCAGGAGGATGCAACAAAGGAACCACTGGGGAGGGGTAGTTAGAGCAGAAGGATGCCAATTAGCAATTGACCAGAGGTTGGCCAGGCAGCTGGGACAGGGAGAGTGTCAGAATTCGTACCCAGGGGCAGAGGGAAGCTGACCAGATCCTTACAAGGGAGACTTCCCAGCCAAGCTGGGAAAGATGCAGGAAATGGTCACTTCGTGAAGGAAGGGCTTTCCCAGGAACGGGAGAGACCAGGCAGAGTGCCTCCTCCTCTTTCCCTTCTGAGATCTGAAGAAGTCTGTCCCATTTTAGGACAAGACAATTGATGGTGGAGGCTCAGGGACTATGGGAAAGGAGCCTCACATTTCCCTTCCACTTTAAATAGAATTTGTGGCCTGACTTAACTCCAAATACCATATCATCTGGATCACTACACAAGAAAAGACAGCAGAAACATATATGTATATATATAGAAGGAAAACATAACGTGCTTTTCAAATCAGAGAAGTGTCAATTTTTTACTCACACACAAAATGCTTATTCCCACTACTACCATCCCAATGAGAGCAGAAAGCCACCTATCAAAGGAAAAAATATATTTATACACCAAAGGTTAGACAACAAAAAGTAGGCATTAGACATGGGCTTGTAATTAATCACTAGAGTAATAAAATAACTCAATTTATAGTAGCTTAATTACTTTTTATCATGAAAGTATATTTTTCATTAACTCAAGGAATACTGAAAAACTAGGAAATATATAATTGTGTCAAATTAGATGTGTTTAAATTCAGCATACCGTCCCATTTTGTGTGCAAGGACCCCAAAAATATTAGTTCCAATCAGATAAGAGACACTAGCTGGAATGAAAGCAACGCCTGAAAAATATGAATGGGAGATTTTATCAATAAGAGTTTCAATGAAGCATTAGAAAAACTAATAATTTCAGACACAGCAGTTTTCATTAGAATATGTCTAATGGATGTTTTCAGCCTGAACCAGAAAATGTAATATCCGGTTGGTTCTGTGGGATCTAACAAGATTATCCATCAAATTTAAACCACTGTTATGCTTGAAAGAGAATATTTACTATCAGATACAAGAATGTGAGAGTGTGTAGAAGACAGAATGTATGTCTGTATGAAACAAAGAGAAAAATATTACAGATTGACTATAATAATTATCATTGTACAAAAGACAAAATTAAAGTGGAAACCAGACAATAATGTAATGACTAAAAGTACTGATAATTTTGAAATGTGGGAGGTCATGCTTTTACGTCTTTCAAAAACTCAGTTAATCATCCACAGTGATTCACAATTAATGTCATGCTCCAAGTTAATATTGACCTCTCTACCTTTTACAACCATCAAAAAACATTGCTGGGGAATGGTGGGATCCCAGCCAAGCTATATATGGTTGATTCTATCCATGCTGCTTGTGACATGATTACATCAGAACAAGCGCACAGATACCAATTTTCCCAACTGAAAAATATTCTATAACATTCACATTGCTGCTGGTTCCATGCAAAGGGCCAGCTAGACAGGCACAGATCAGGGGTCTCAATGCATGGATGAGAAAATGGTGCCGGGAGGAAGGGTTTAGATTTGTTAGGTATTGAGGAACTTTCTGGGACAAGCCAAACCTTCTTATGTTCTTACAGCACTTGAAACATATCTGGAGTGGTTAAGGTTAGGATTAGACCATTGGTCCATAAACTAGAGGTTGAGTTGTAATCCTACTGTCACTTCCTGAAAGCCAACATGATATAGTTGATAGTCCCATTTTCAAATCACCACTAATGATTACATTTACTAGGTAATGATGAGCCACTTGTTACCTCACAGGGTTGTTATGAAAATGAAATAGGAAAACTCTGAAATATATTGTCCTGAATTACTTCAAGGAAATGTGGGAAATAAGTGTAATAAGTAGAAAATTCATTTTGGTAAAAATATGTAAAAATATTTTGATTAAATTAAATCAGTCATTGGTTCTCAGAAGGAGAAGTGTACTGATAAAAGTACAAGGATATTTGGTGTCTACTCCTTACTGAAAATTAGTGACTAGCATGAAGAAGCCAGAAAAAAGGACAAAACGCTACATTAATGTTTTATCACATTGTGAAATAACATCTGTCGAATTTCAGCAAGCTCTTTATTAAACAGGTGTATAGGATGACTCATGGCTTCAAGAAAAGAACGATAACATAACATGCGATGATTCTTACAGTGCCATCCTAAACAGAGTTACAGCCTTCTAAATCCAGTTACTACTACTTCTTCTTTTTTTGAAATCCCCAGAGGGATATTTTTATTATTTTTATATAAGACTACCAAACTACAAAGAAAATATAAGGGAAGGGGGCTACATCTAAGGATAAAGGAAAGATAACTACACTATACTATAAACCCAAGAGGAGGAGATCATATCCGTGTTAATCCAAGTGTTATTAATAAAAGTGTGTGTTCAACAATATACTTGTAGAGTTCTTGTTGTCTCGGTTTCAATGTTAGTATATTAGTTATTGTGAGAGAACTTTCTGAGCATCTTCTTGTTATTTGCTTCAAAAGGCCATTTTCAGAGTCCTTCTGCCTTTACTTCGGTTTTCTGTCTCTGAAATCATATGTAGCTTTCATTGCGCCTGCACCCATTTCTACAGCAGAGTCTTCATCCGTTCCAGAGGTAGCGGAGTCAATTGATTTCAATTCTTTCTCTTTGGATTCTTCCTCCGATCCCAACGGACGTCTCAAAAATTCTTTGGCTTTAAAAATGGAGTCAATATTTTCTCTTTTGTCGTTGATTTTAAAGATGACACCCTCTGGGATCGCCCACCTGTATGAAATTCTATTGGTTTGAAGAAAAGAGATTATGTCCT